GACAGGATTTCACTATGTTGGCCAGGCTGGTCTCGAACTCCTGACCTTGTGATCCACCTGCCTTGGCCTCCCAAAGTGCTGGGATTACAGGCATGAGCCACCATGCCCAGCCAGAATATTTTCTTTAGAGAGGATGTTAAAAAATACACTTAGAATTACCTAGAAGATGGTTACCGGAAATGTGGAAGTGATCCTGAGAAGAAGATTGGATTTGGTCAGGAGTTATCCCACAGGACGTTTGGTAATTCCTGGAGCCGTTTTTGGCTGCCACACTGGGTGATTGCTGCTGGTATCTAGTGGGTAGGGATGACAGTTGCTGCTAAACATCCTACAGTGCTCTTGACAGCCCCCAGCAAAGAATTATCTGGTCCCAAATGTCAGTAATGCTTAGGAAACACTGGGCTAGCTGGCATCATTTTGGAGGTAGGTGATTGAAGTTGTGTAATACACAGAATAAACCAATTTTAGTTGACTCCAAAGAGTAGTGTATTCATATCTGCCTTATATTTTTTCTGGCATTATGTATCTACTAATTAAGTTGTAAATCACTATTCATGACACACCAGCCTGTATGCTTCATGCATTTACCACTGTCACAATATCTGGCCAGAAATAGGCAAACAAAATAATAGTTTTAGAATAAATAAGGAAGGGGCTGGGCATGGTGTATTCCTTTTTAAATTCACTTCCAAGGTGATACACATATTTATAGGAGTAAATATTGTGTATATGTTAAAAAATTAGATACTGATATCCTAATTAAAATTAAAACAGGCTGGTCAAGGTGGCTCATGCCTGTAATCCCAGCACTTTGGAAGGCCTAGGTGCGTGGATCACCTGAGGTTGGGTGTTTGAGACCAGCCTGACCAACATAGAGAAAAATACTAAAAATACAAAATTACAATATAAATACTAATATAATACAATATAAATATATTAAAAATACAAAACTACTAAAAATACAAAATCAGCCAGGCATGGTGACATATGCCTGTAACCCCAGGTACTCAGGAAGCCGAGACAGGAAAATCACTCAAACCCAGGAGGCAGAGGTTGCAGTGAGCTGTGATCGTGCCATTGCGCTCCAGCCTGGGCAACAAGAGTGAAATTCCATCCCCCCCAAAAAAAAAAGGCCGGGCGCGGTGGCTCAAGCCTGTAATCCCAGCACTTTGGGAGGCCGAGGCGGGTGGATCACGAGGTCAAGAGATCGAGACCATCCTGGTCAAGATGGTGAAACCCCGTCTCTACTAAAAATACAAAACATTAGCTGGGCATGGTGGTGCGTGCCTGTAATCACAGCTACTCAGGAGGCTGAGACAGGAGAATTGCCTGAACCCAGGAGGCGGAGGTTGCGGTGAGCCGAGATCGCGCCATTGCACTCCAGCCTGGGTAACATGAGTGAAACTCCGTCTCAAAAAAAAAAATAAAAATAATAAAATAAAATAAAATAAAGGATCTTATGAAGGAGAGTTACTATTTATTAATTCATTTAACAAATTTTGTATTTGTTGAGCACCTGTCCTGTCCCACGTACTTCTTTGTGCTAGGTATAGAACAGTCAACAAAAGATACGATACCTGCCCTTTTGAGTTTTTATTCCACTGGATGGACAGTAAAAAATAAAAATAAATAAGATTATAATATGTTAAACAGTGATAGGGCTTGGGGATGAAAGAATAGGGAAAAGAGATTAGGAATATGGGTTAGAGGTTGGTTGGAATATTTGAGAACCTCAGTGAGAAGGATACTTGGAATAGAGCCCTGAGGGCAGTGAGGAGCTAGCCATGCAGATATCCAAATGAAGATCATTCATATTGGAGGGAATAAGGGCTCTGAGCAAGGTAAAGAGCTTAGTATGTTCAAGAAATAGCAGGGAGGGCCAGGTGTGGTGGCTCACACCTGTAATCCCAGCACTTTGGGAGGCTGAGGCAGGTGGATCATTTGAGGTCAGGAATTCGAGACTAGCCCATCTGTACTTAAAATACAAAAATTAACCTGGCATGGTAGTATGCACCTGTAGTCCCAGCCACTCAGGTGGCTGAGGCATGAGAATCACTTGAACCTGGCAAGTGGAGCTGTAGTGAGCTGAGATAGCACCTGGGTGACAGAGCACAGGACTCTGTCTCAAGAAAATAAAATAAAAATAAAAATAAAAATTTAAATAAATATAGCAAGGAGGTTAGTGTGGCCAGAGTGAAGTGGATGGGGAGAATAGTATGAGACAACTGCAGGAGCAGTATGTGGGGTTGGTGGTGTGGTCTTCTAGGCGTTGGAAAGACTTGAGCTTTTACTCTTAATCAGAAAGCCATTAGAGGGTTTTGAGCTGAACAATGATACAGCCTGACTTGGTGTATCAGAGTCAATCTGCTTGCCATATTGAGAAGAGAGTGAGATGGATTGAGGGAGGAAGGACTGTTGTGTTTAAGTTCAGTGGGTAAGTCAGGACTGGAGGGGAAAAATTAGGCAACATTAGTGAATGGATTATAATGAAGGCCATGAGTTTGGATATTATCTGCCTAGTACTTGACATTGTGCTGTACTGTTTGTTGGCTATGTGTAGGTACTCTAACTCTATAAATTTAATATGTCTTTTCTATATTAATGTTCATGAGATTACTATATATGAATCAATAGAGATATGTTCATTTAATATAATATTCTTCCAATTCCACTACAAGCTGCCATTGAATAGGTGGTGCTTTTAAAAAACAACTGTTACTGTAATTGAATAGGTGATGCTTTTAAAAAACAACTGTTACTGTAAGTCTAAGGAATAAGATTTTTCGCCTTTAGGATAGCAAACTACATTTAAAAGTAAAAACTTGCTAAAGAGGATGCAGCTGTGTGTGGCAGGCTAAGGATTCCAGCTTATTTTCCAACTCCAAAGTCCATTCTAAACACTGCACAGTGTGCCCTTGTAAAAGTATGTGCCTTTTCCATATAATTTTGCGTAATGATTAGGTGCTGGAAGGTTTTTCTTTCTTTTTAAATGGGAGAGAGCATAACCAGTGCAGCAAAGTCATGATTCTGGATTCATAGGAACCTGATCTTTTATCATAGGTTTTAAGCTGTTATTTATCCTCTTTCAGTCTCAGTGGCCTTGTCTGTAAAATAGTGATGTTTATTAAAAGTTAGCCTTTTGGAAGATAATTAAATAAGATAATGCATTTTTTGTATTTACTGATGTACAGTGTGTTTGTACTTAGGTGGCAGTTATATCAAGGAAGAATTGGGACTTGTGGCTGCACTGTTCCAGAATTTAAAAATTAGAAAATGGAGCAATCATGTGATGAAGAAAAAGAGCCTGAACCACAAAAGAACATAAAAGAAACCAAACAAGTAGATGACAAAGACGCTGAGCTCATCTTTGTTGGTGTAGAACATGTAAATGAAGATGCTGAGCTAATCTTTGTTGGGGTGACTTCAAATTCAAAACCAGTCGTTTCAAACATTTTGAACAGAGTCACCCCGGGTTCATGGTCAAGGAGAAGAAAGTATGGTCACCTTAGAAAAGATACTGCTCACAAATTACAGCCTACAAGTCATGAGACCCTTACATCAGAAGCAGTGACTGTCTTGCCAGCTTCCCAACTTGAATCGAGATCAGCAGATAGTCCTATTATTATTGAGCCTTTGTCTAAACCTGATTATAAAAATAGTTCACCACAAGTTGTGCCTAATAGCTCTTCAGAACTGCCTTCTCCTTTGATTACATTCACAGGTTCATTGCATCATCCAGTAAGTGCAGCACTTTCAGTAGGAGGTATAAATGAAAGTCCTTGTGTATCAAAGCGACTTTCTACTTCTGAAGTAAACAGCATAAATCCCAAAAGGTCTAAACTCAGGGATGGAATTATGGAAGGATATTCTTCAGCTTCATCCCCTTCAGATACCTTTCATACAGTGAATACAGTGAGTACTCAGCAAAGTACACCCTCAAACAATGTGCGTACCTCATTAAGCCATGTTCTGAATGGAGCACCTTTTCCAGAAACTTTTCCAAAGGACAATATCCATTTCAAGCCTATAAATATAAATCTTGATAGGGAAAATGAATTGGCAAAAACAGACATTTTGAGTCTAGTAAGCCAAAACAAGACCCTTGATCCCAAAAAAGAAAATCCAGTCATGTTACTTAGTGACTTTTACTATGGACAGCATAAAGGAGATGGGCAGCCAGAACAGAAGACTCATACCACCTTTAAATGCCTCAGCTGCTTGAAAGTTCTAAAAAATGTTAAGTTTATGAATCACGTGAAGCATCATTTGGAATTTGAGAAGCAGAGGAACGACAGCTGGGAAAACCATACCACCTGCCAGCACTGCCACCGGCAGTTTCCCACTCCCTTTCAGCTACAGTGTCATATCGAAAATGTCCACACTGCCCAGGAGCCCTCTACTGTCTGTAAGATCTGTGAATTGTCATTTGAAACAGATCAGGTCCTTTTACAACACATGAAGGACATTCATAAGCCTGGTGAAATGCCCTACGTGTGCCATGTTTGCCATTACAGATCATCGTTCTTTGCTGATGTGGAAACACATTTTAGAACATGCCATGAAAACACAAAGAATTTGCTTTGTCCCTTTTGTCTCAAAATTTTCAAAACTGCAACACCATACATGTGTCATTATAGGGGCCATTGGGGAAAGAATGTACATCAGTGTTCTAAGTGCCGACTACAGTTTTTAACTTTCAAGGAGAAAATGGAGCACAAGACCCAGTGTCATCAAACGTTTAAGAAGCCTAAACAACTAGAAGGATTACCTCCTGAAACAAAAGTTATTATTCAAGTGTCGCTGGAACCTCTTCAACGAGGTTCAGTGGAAGTAGCACCCATAACTGTGAGCACATCTGACCCTGAACCATCACTCCCCAGTTCTAAAAGCAAAATTTCAAAAAAGTTTCATTAATTCTGGTTTCAGTAAATTTAAAGCAGGTTTTCAAACTGAATTTAAAAATGTCATAAAAAGAAATTCAAACCATACATCATTCAGTGGCACCAAAAATAGTGAAATTAGTGGATTATATGTGACTTTTAAAACAAAATTTAGGATATATAATATTTGATCTGAATTTTGAGGTATTTTAAAGCATCTGGTTTTCATGTTGGCTGTATCTGGCTTACCACATTAAAAATGTGTGTGTATGTGTGAGAGAGAAAAAGGTATTAATTTATTTTTTAAATTTTAATTAAAAAAAAATTTTTTTTTTTAGAGACGGTCTCATTGTCACCCAGGCTGGAGTGCAGTGGCATGATCCTAGCTCACTGTAGCCTTGAACAACTCCTGGGCTCAGGCATTCCTCCGCCTCAGCCTTTGGAGGGTAGCTAGGACTACAGGCGCAGCCACCACATCCAGCCAAGTTTTTATTTTAATTTTTTGTTGTGATGGACCTTTGTTATGTTGCCCATGCTGGTCTTGAACTCCTGACCTCAGGCGAGCCTCCCACCTCAGCCTGCCCAAGTGCTGAAATGTGTGAGCCACTGCCCCTGGAACCTATTTATTATTTTGGTATTTCATGTTACTCCTAAGCTTGAAAGCTTTTCTTTCTATATACAGAATTCATAGAATTTTTGAAATACTAAGATTTCATGGTTAACTCTAGTTAGACTGGAATGGCTTTGTTATGCCCTGGCCACTTGCTGCTGAATTCCCAGAAGTGCCTCTGATGTGCTGGCATAAAATAACCTGAAAAGATTCTGAAAAGCCAGGGTGTGGAATTGAAAGAGAAGCTGCTACATGAGCAGACACCAAGAAAGTGGAGGTTAGTTGAGGGAGAGCAGCGGCTCTTTGTCCCAGTTAAAGGATAGGCATACATTCATTCTGGTCTTGGGGCCAGGTCAAAAGGAACACTGCTTCAGAGTATGTTTACCTAACCCGAAAATATCCAAGGAAGCCAAACCATTCAAAGTAAAATGCCCTTGTTTGGTGAGGGGCTCCTGCAGACATCAAACAGTCGCCATGTATCATTGGTTTGAGATGAATGAAGTAGCAATAAAATTAACAGAATGGTTGTTGGTGCTAGCTGACTTCCTGTTCTGTGATCTAAAGGTGAATTTGATTCATTCTCTCTCCTCTCCCTTTTGGCTAGCTGTTGGTGGAGAATGAACTGGCCATATTCCTCTCAGCCACAGCAGTTAAGCAAGTTAAGTTTCCCAAGGGGAAGATACTCTGATATCTATAATTTGAAAGATCTATAATTTGAACTATACTGGACCCAAAGTTTTAACTGAAAAGGACCAAACAAGTGTCTGTCTAGTTCCTGGACTTGGCTAAATTTAGTTTTCCTACTGTTAAGCTGGAATGGGGACTGTCCAAGAACAGTAGATACAGTGGACAAAAATAACCCAGGGTGACTGACTAAATTTAAACCCATAATGGCTTTGTATTTTTTTGTGCATATATATTTTACCCTAATGGGAAGCTTGTGACTTTATGTCTTGCCTTGGACATGAATGTATTACAGCTTAAAGTTACTCTTCTGTTGTATGTATAGTTTCCCAGTTTATCAACACTAATGCTGTTTGTGTCTTACTTCACACACACTAGTGTGCAAGAAATGTCTCTCTAATTCAATAAGTGTTAAGACATAGAGTTAATGTTCTTTATCTAATCTATCCTATCTAATCTGTACTATGTGGGAACATTTTTCCTTTGCTCTCCCAAGAGGCTGTTTTATAGAATTCTTGAGTACCTTTTGAGTATTAGTTCCTGAACATCAGCAGCCTTGGCTGCCTCTGTGGATTCCTAAGTTGTCTCCCTGGTTGTGTTCTGGTGACATCCTTTGTTCCTCCACCCCTGACCGAGGTGACTAGCAGCCGGTCTTCACCAGTCAAGGAATCTTGGCATCTTGACTATAGACATAGGTTTGGAGAAATCTCCTTTTTTCCTTGATTTCTCCTTGAAGGCACCTTATCTTTTCCCCACTCCTTTCTTCCGTCCTCAGTCTAGTTAAATTTCCTAAGGTTTCACAAAAAGTTGGGAAGAGATAATTAAAAGAGGTTAGCAGTCCTCTTAGAACAAGAATAGAAGGCAGTACAGATAATAAAGTTGTGAGTATATTAACTATTTTTTTTTTAATTTTTATTTATTTTTTATTTTTTTATTATCTACGTTTTAGAAAATTTTCTGACTTCAGAGCCATAGATTCTGTTATATTTATTTGCCTGACGCTCACTTGATTGATTTGCACCTTGAACACTTTACTAGGCCTTTTCAGTTACTTTGCTTGGGTTAAGACATTTTGCTAAAATTTCAGCCCAAATCCTTTCTTTAGTTGAAGAAAGGGTACGTGTGTGAAGTTGGGTGTGTGTGCCAGTTGTTCTGGTCTCAGGTAGATATTCCTACTTTGTATAAATAGGTCTTCAGACTTTTCATACTTACCCCCGTACTCTGTTTCTTGGCAAAAATATGAAATGTTTTAGTTGTATGTTTTAGTGATTGGTTGGTATTAGAAACTTGTTGTTTGCTGTTTCATTAAAGCATGCTCTTAAGGAGTACATATGGTCATTAATTGCCAACTATAGATTCCAGTGATCTGGCTCCTGCCTACCTCCTTCCTCTCTTTTTCATTCTCTGTCATGCTTCTCTACTGTTTTCCCCAATGATGCACTATTTTGACACACTGGCCTTGCTGTTCCTTAAGCAAATCACATTCTTCCCAATCCAAAGACTTTGCACATGCTGTTTTGTTTCATAGAATGTCCTTCCCCTTGGCCTGCATGGCTTGCTACCTCACTTAATTGTTTGACACTTCCTTTGGTTCATTGAGCTTCAAGGCTCTTAGAATGACACTGACAATGAAATCTCCCTTCCTTTTTTTTTTTTTTTTTTTTTAAAAAAAACTCAATAACCCACTCTTAACTTTCTCCTCTTAAAGGCACTTTACCCTCTCCCTACTCTTTTCTTCTCTCTTCAATCTATTTAAATTTCCTAGGTTTTCATGAAGAAGCTGGAAAGCAATCATCATCAAGGGCTTTGCTTCTGTCTTAGAGTAGAGCTAAGCTTGAGTCAATTTCTGTGCCTGCAACCAAACGAAAATTAATATAGTGTGTTCTTTCAGGAGCTTTTCTGTTTTTCTATTGATACCTCTATATATTTTTAAGGCAATGTCACTTTGTTTACAAATATATTGAATATGTCAAGATTACTATTTTGTTATTACCCTTTGTGAATTTCCTGGTCTATTTTGCTTGCTTGTTCTTTCAGATGAAATTTATTATTTTATTAATGTTGCCAAAAATTATAAGCAAAATATTATAGTAATAAAATGTTTTGTGAAAAAAAAAGTTGCTGTATTGTCTTTCCACTATAAGTAAAATGGGATATTTTTAGTTTGTTTTTGTTTTTTGAGACAGAGTCTTGCTCTGTGACCCAGGCTGGAGTATAGTGGTGCAGTCCCAGCTCACTGCAACGTCCGTCTCCTGAGTTCAGGTGATTCTCGTGCGTTAGCCTCCCGAGCAGCTGGTACTACAGGTGTGTGCCACCATGCCCAGCTAAGTTTTGTACTTTCTGTAGAGATGAGGTTTCATCATGTTGGCCAGGCTAGTCTCAAACTCCTGGCCTCAAATAATCCACCTGCCTTGGTCTCCCAAAGTGCTGGGATTACAGGCATGAGTCACAACACCTGGCCTTCTTTTAGTTTTTAATTTTTATTCAGTACCACTATGTAATCTTTGCCTTCTTGCCATTCATGTCCATTTTTAGCCTTATTGATTCGCCCCTGAAGGTAATAAGTATATTACTTAAAGAATTCCTATTTCCATTTTTTAGAATCTTCAAAGAAAATTAATTAGTTTTATAATTTACAACATCTGTTATGACAGTCATTTCTTTACTAACCCAAGTTTTTACTTGGTTGCACTTATAGCTTTCTTGTTAGAAACTTCCTTTCGTGAAGCAAAACTAGTTCCATTTGGGGTAGGATATTGTTTTAACTACTCAGAATCTCAGTTCCTTTCTCACTTCTAATATTAAAGTGTATTTCCTCATCTCATTAATTCGTCCTGGTTTTATCAGTATTCCTTTCTGATTTACTTTTTTTTTTTTTTTTTTTTTT